AATCATTGTCCAGAAGAAGGCCGGATGCGACTGGATCCGCTGCACTGTCTGCCAGACCGAGATCTGCTGGGTGACCAAGGGGCCACGCTGGGGGCCCGGGGTGAGCTGGCCAAGGGGGGCAGGAGGGATCCCTCAGTTCCCACAGGAAGGGGGGGGGGGAAACAGATGGGGTTGGGGTGAGCCATCTTGGGGGGGGGAGGAGGGGCACAAGAGGGATTCCCTGATCCCCAGAGGCAGGGTGGAGAATGGGTGGCCCTGCAGGACCAAGCTCTGGCTTGGTCCTGCAGCAGCATAGCTGGCCCCGAGGTGATCTCCCACCTTGACCATGCTCTTCCATCCCCAGGGTCCTGGGGACACCAGTGGTGGATGTCGCTGCAATGTCAATGGGCAGAGGTGCCACCCCCGCTGCCAGAACTGCCACTGAGTCCCAGATTGGCCCAGGGTCCAGGACACACTGGAAGCAAACAGGGCTGGGAGCCCCTCACCAAGGGCTGGCCCAGCCAGGATCAGTGCCAGCCCTGCAGCCGGAGCACAGCCTGGAGCTGTTTGTGCATCTCTCACCAGGGAGAGCCACGTGAAGCAGCCAGGGAAGGAGAGGATGGACATGGGGCCAGAAGATGCGGTGGAGCCCAATGCCAGGATGTGGGGGGGGGCTCTGCCAGTAGTGGAGCCCCAGCAGTGAAGAGCAGCATGGTCCACAATGCTGCGTGTCCCAATAAAGCCACCCGTGTGCCCCAGCCATGCTACCCACGCTGCTGAGATGTGCCCTTACAATGGGGAGAGTGGGGTCAGTCCTGGTATGAGCCCACTAGATGCTGCTGAGGGACTGCAGCAGAGCCCCCAACCCCCCCACAGCCAGACACCACAGCACACACAGACCCCCCTGCTAAACCCCCACCACAGGCAGACATCACGGTATGGGTAGACCACACCATACTTTCGCCTGAAACACCGAGATTTTATTTCCATGCCCCCAGCCCCTCCAAACACAGGTGCCAGCAGCCAGGGGGGCTGAGGATGATGTTAAATAAGGAGCCATAGTGGGGGCAGGCACTGAGGGCTGTGCCCCCCACCACAGCCCAGGGGTTGTGCGTGGCCCAGGCATTGCTGCTGGGGTGGGGGGCACCCCACTGCCCCCCCCTATTTGGGGGGCCGGTAAACCATTTTCCTGCTCTTCAGTACAGACCATTTGTGGCGTTTCAAGTAGAAGAGAAGGGAGGTCAGGAGCCCCGAGATCATCAACATCTGGGGGGGGAGAAGGAGTCAAGCTCTATCCCACCAAGCACCCCCCTGCCAGTGTGGGGCCGTGTGCAGTGTGGGGGGCAGTTTGGGGTCCCCCCCGGGTCAGCACCCACCTTCAAGCCCATCCGTTTGCGGTGGTCGTGCTCTGGCTCCGCTGCCCACCGCAGGAAGGTGCAGATGTCCTTGGCAATCTGTGACATGGTGGCTGGGGTGCCTGGGCAGGACAAAGGGGGACTGAGCACCCGGGAACCAGCACCCCTGTGGACTGGCACCGTGTCGGCCCTTGTCCCTTCTTACCATCATCAAACTCCAGGATTTCATTGTAGATGGGGGGGGCCATGCCAATGGCCTGGCCCGGGAAGTAGGGGTTGTAATGCAGCCCCTCCCGCACCGTCACACCGGCCGGGGGGTCACAGTAGCCAGTGAGGAGGGAGAACACATAATCCTCGCCCCCATGCCTGTGGAGGGAACCAGCCAGGCACTCAGACACCCTTGGAGCAGCGGGGCCAGGGACCCTGAGTGCCACATGGGTCCGACACCCTCCAATCGCCCCCTCTCCCATGCGTGTTACCGGGCATTGACGATGTAGCTGAGGTCGGGGGGCAGCGCCCCATTGTTAGCAGCTCGTGCTGCTTCGGCGTTGGGGTAGGGCTTGGGGAAATAGTCAGAGATCTTGCCGGGCCGCATGAACATCTCCCCGTTCTCATCTGGGCCGTCCTGCACCTCCACCTGCGTGGGGAGAAGAGCCCTGAGCTGGGGCCCCAGGACACGGTGATGGTGGTGGGACCGTCCCGGTGGGCCTCACCTCCTCGGCCAGAGCCTTGGCCTCCTCCTCCGTGTGGGTGACGCCGATGAGGTTGCGGAAGGCCAGGTACTCCATGCTGTGGCAGGCGGAGCAGACCTGCTTGTACACCTGGAATCCACGCCGCAGGCTGCAAGAAGAGGAGGTGGTGACCTCCCTGTCCCCCTTCCAAGGCTTCCCATGGCCCCATCACCCTGTCCCGGTACCTGCCATGGTCGAGCGC